ATTGATAAAAATACAATTAATTTACCTCATGACACAATTTTTGTGTTTATATGATTGCCACACATCTCTGCTTTGTTTTATTTAGAAAATGTCATTTAACTACTACTTGAGTATACCCCCAAACATGAAATATTAACGTTTTTCCCAATTTGCAAATATTTTTGCCTGTCAAGTCTTTACTTTAGACGACATATTTGCATAGTGCATCTTTGTTTTTGTATTTTATACCACATACATGTACTGTACATGTAAGTTGACATAAGAAATAGCTTTGTGCAAACTAAGTAACATATTTCGTGTATGATATCATCGTTTACATTGATAGAACATGGGCAAGAGGTGCTACAATGGGGTAACCCAAGGTGGTATTCTAAAATACTGATACGACGCATTGTTTTTGGTAATTTTGCCTTTTTTACATCACTGTACGTGGTCAGGGGACGTTGTGTTTGATACCATTTCTTTTAAGGACTTTAGATCATTGTTTGGAATGGTTGGGATTTCTTTCATTATGATAAGTTATACTCTTTATACAGGGTGATCATTAAATTCCCAGAACTTAGTGATCACCCTGTAGGTCCCCTTTCTACCTGTGTTCTTAAAGTACTTTTTTGGTTCAAGTGAAATCATTCTAAAGAAAGTTCTATCATCTCACTTATTCTGGTGATGTTTGTGTAGTATATGATAGCTGAGTTCTTCAGAAAACGAAGTTGTACCAAACGAACATCGTGAGATATCACAGCCTTCTCTCAGTTTCCTTCTAGAGTTGTACATAGCAGAGATGGTCTGAGTATCAGAATGCCAAACGAATGAAACAATACCGAACTTGTGTATTTCATAATCATTATTCATTTATTCATAGATGTCAAACATTACAATTATAGTAAACCATACTGTAAGCGCTACCAAAGATCTCTGGTATAATCTGTACGCTAATTTTATTCTAATTTAATTAAGGAGTCACCAATGTTAAGGGGTGGTGTCTAAATGTCAACAGTGGTAGAAAAACCAAAGTTAATTTTATCATGGTTTGACCCCCTCTCCCTTTATTATAAAATGTTGCGGCGCCTTTATTTCTATTTATATATATCATTTATAGCATGTGTCATTTTAATATATGTAAAGACATGGCTAGTAATGCCAATATGGCACAGCTATTGAAATAAATTTATAAATAAAAAAACTTTGCCTTTCGCTTGGATTTAAAATAAATCGTTTTCAACAACTTTTGACAATTAGGCACACACCCCCTTTGAACTGAATTCTTGGGAAGCAAACAAATATCTTTTAAATTTTCAGAAAATCAAATCTCAATACAGGTCCACCCAGACGTTCCCTTAAATGTGTACAAAACAAAGTATAAATACAAAAATATAAATAAAAAACTAGCAAAACATAGTTACTACTACCGTATGCACCTTTACAATGTGTCATGATGTATAATATAATTTTAAACAAATGCAAAGGTGAATATTGCCTTATTAGGTAATAATAATTCAGGCTATTTGTCATACAGATTTGGGGCCAAGTAGATACCAATACAAACTGTGGCAATATTCTCTCTTACACAAGTTCCAACATGGCTGTGTCCAACAGGCTCAGGGGCAAAGTGATGGATCATTCTATTTTGGGGGTAGACCAAGATTTGGCCCCTAATATTAAATAATCCACCCCTAAGTGCCACCTTGAATGCATTAAGTGCAGACAATCTATATCATAGTGTATATATCACATCCATATCCACCTTAAGAATTAAACTATTATCAACTATTATAAAACTATCAGTGTTGACATCAAACTTTCAATACTGACATCATCCTATGAATGTTGACATCATCATATCAGTGTTGACATCAAACTTTCAATATCGTCATCATCCTACCAATGTTCATATACTAGTAACCTATCAGTGCTAAATTCAACCTATCAGTGATGACATCAACCTTTCCGTGTTGACATCAACTTTTCAATGTTGACATCAACCCATCAGTGGTTACATCATTTATGCATATCATTTTATGTATTTCCCTGCTTCCTGTTTGCAGTACATGGTTAAAATAAGATGATAAACCTAGCAAAGAATACACTGTAGATTGAGTTCACTGTACAGGGTGTCCACAAAATCTAAAATAATTCTCTACACACTAAATGAACTGAATATTCTTGTCAGTGGTTAATAAAAAGAACTTTTATCTGACAATATACATGTACTTGCATGATATTTGATAGATTTAATAGGCCCGTAGAATTACCACTTCTTGACACCCAGTAAATGACATTCATAAATACACACAACTAAAAGCGGAATGACATTCTAAGCTTCATTGATGAGAAATGAGTATCAGGCAAAAATGAGTATGACAACAGTGGAAATGAGCATAACCAATTCATGTGAATCTTTTTAAACATCAGGCCCATAGCCAGCTTTTGCCAATGGGGCTCACCTTTTAAAAAATTCTAGGATGAGGTTCACGTTTGACAAAGGCCAAACAATGGCAAAAATCACTTGAAAAATGCTCAGAATGGTGAAAAACAGCATGTTTTTTGGTGGAACCCTCTGAACCCCCCCCCCCCCCCCCTAGCTACAGGGCCGAACATTTAAACTGAATTATAGATTTATACCATGCTGTATAGATTGACATTTTTAGGTATTCATTTGAGATCAGAAAAAATGCTAAGTACCATTATGCAAGATTATGCAAACATTTGAAACCTTGATTTATCATTAAATAAACCCTTTGGGAATTATGGTTGAATCAATTCAATGCCTGACAAAATCAAGGTTGATTTTATCTTGAATCAACCTTGACAAATGTTTGCTGTGTACTTTCGTTTGAAAAATCGTCCATTCTTCACTCTTATTTCCTGATACAGTAAGCATAATTTTCAGCTAATATTACTCTTAAAATTTTAGACTACATCTTAGTTGTTAGTCAACACATTGTTATGTTCAAATTTTCCGACCCATTTTAGTTAGAACTTTTTTTACTTTACCCTCTATAAATGTACGCATGTACATAATTTATTTTACATGTGCAATATCATATAACTTATCTACAGTTCAACACCTACAGTGTACCATATATATTAAAAGCTGGATGGATTTACAGCAGTATTGACACAAATACACAACACTAGTTATCTTAATAAGCCTACAAACGCTCTTGCATACAAATGAATTGGTACAATAGAGAGAATTCGCACAACGGGTTACAGCTAAAATGTATCCGCAACCACATCTCATTTAAATTGAACTGCTATGCATAAATCTGGTGAATGCATTTCAGATTTAAGGTACATTTAGCTGAAAAGATTGTGTGAAATCTCTCTAAGTATCAGTATTTTTCTTTATAAAGTGTCACAAATTATGAATGAAACATGAAATGTGTTGAGACATTGCGGAAGGACCATCACATATTAAAGAGAACATTAATTATACAAATAAGCAACATTTAAACAAAATGTGGAGTTATTTAAAAAGTGCTGACAATGCAAAGTTTGTTGTTGTATGAACATAAAAAGGAAGACATAATGATGTTCAAGTTTTCACGTGAAATGTGCATATAGAAATTATGTCTGTGGTGTTACAGATGTATTGATCTCATAGTAAAGAGAAGAAGTGATTTTATAAATTCAAAATTTTACAAAGTTTCTGTTAAGACCCCTGGTTGGTAAGTTTTTCTTGCAATTTAACTCATTTATTCCAAAATTCAGTTTCTTATATGACACGCTGCAGCAATCTACTATCAGCCATTTCTAACATTATATTGTCTACAATTAGGACAGCAGGCTTCACTAGCTACTAATAACAAAATTAAAAATCTGCAAAACAACTATAGATGGCATATTACATTGCTTAATATGTGACTGGCCATGTATATTCCATAGGGTGCCTGAACTGGGATATGTCAGTACTAGTGGACAACATTGATTAATGGACAAGTTGGCATGTTAATTTCTTTTACAAATGTACAGGGTGAACCAAACAGCTGACTTGGGTCCAAACAAACTATTTTCAGGTCTCTCAGTCGGCATCTATTGTCCAACCCTGTTATTCTTAAACATTTTCTGTAATTTTGAAAACCAAGCTCTATAGTTTTCTGTCATTTTTTACACTTAACTTTACAAACTATTGTAAGTCTACTTGTCACTTGTTATACTATTTTCCATACTACATTTTTGCACTAATATCACTACAATGACTTTAAGCCAACTAGGTATTCATCAGGTATTCTCTAGAACAGCTTTCATGGATACACCTATAAATACATGTAAATAGTGTACATGAACTCGGGAGATCTCTACACTACATGTATATTGTAATAATAAATATCTAGGTATTGTTTAACTATGACAGAGTAGATCTAGTGTTGTTTAATTCCTACACTGCACATAAACCATAATGAACTGTATTTCTGGATGCAGCTGTTGAACTATACAGCTGTGTTACAGCTGCACTGATGATGTTTTTAATTTGCACATATGAGATGCTTTTAATCCTTATATGTGCCTTTAAACTCAGCTGAAAAAACTCAGCTTGAAGACAACTGTCTCCAAGTTTTGGTAAAGCTATATCTTGCTCTGTTGAACACTGTTGTTATAAAACTTATTTGGAGTAATTTCTACATCTGTATTAAGCTGTGGTCTGTAGAGTCATAATTGTACAGTAGCATTAAACTGTAATATGTACTTAATTGTAAAATGTACAGCTGTACTGAGCTGTTAGGTGTACTTAATTGAATCTGTACAGCTGCTTTGAGCTGTAATCTGCCGAGCTGTGGGAAGGTAATACAGCTGTGGGTGTTACTTCTGTCAGACGTGATCTTCATGCCTGGAAACAAAATAGGATAAAAGTTAGATATCAGCACTTGGTACAAATATTGTTACTTGGGTAGGATACTGCATTCTCAATGTTCAAAATGAAGATCATGAAGAAACTTTAATAAATAAGTTTTGAATTTTGGGAATATAAATGAACAATTCTTTTCTATTAGAACTTATGATAAACTTCAATTAGATAGAACTGAGATTCAAATTTTACACTCAGTAGAAAAAAATTGATGTTTGTATTTTTCTTTCTAAGTAAAAACTTCATTTAGCCCATTAAAGTCCAATGGCTTACTTACAACTATAAAGGTGTCTCTTTGTCAATGGCAAGTCTTGTTGGTCTTTTAGGTGGCTTTCTGAAGCCAGTGTTTACAACTAACTGCATACTAGGGCCTCCTTTTTGAATATCAACATTCTTTTCAGAGGCCTTCAAAGCAGGGTTATGTTTGGCTTGATAAACATCAGTTTTGACGTTTTTGGCATAGCTGTATTTTGGAGTAACTCCATTTTGTCTCTGTGGTTGTCTTGTATCGGGGGAATGAATGGTTAAAGCAGCTCGTCCCATCACGGGACCTTTTCCTTTACGGGTTATCGAAGCTGGCTCAACTGAATATGTTGGGCGCGGTTTTGCTTGCCATATTTGGTCATCATCTATTTCATTTAGATTGTACACCTCATTTGGGTTTGAGATTATACGTATCGGGGCCACTAGACTGCGTTGTGGTTGAGGGTCCAGTTCATGGTATATTGGCATATTCATACCATTTATGAGTTTATTTTCAGATGTTTTAGGGGTAATATCACTAAGAGGGGATTGTATGGGGGAGTGGACTGGACTCTCGTGAGGCTCACTCACGGGAGACAACATTTTGCTCAATGGCCGATTACGGCTTCGTGATGTACATTGTTGCAATTGCTGCGTAAAAGTCATACTTTGAGGGTCATGTGGGACGCTATTACTGCTCTGATTGGTTGACATTGTTCCTGTATTTGAGGATGTTAAATTACTAGAAGACTCATTGGACACGTATGATTTCCTCCTATCCATGGTTGTGGTAGGAGACTCCGATGATGACGTGTTAGGACCCGTGTGGCTACTTGTCGTTTCCGTGGCAAGACTCATCATAGCTTGACTCATTACTGACACATGACTCACTGATGATTGCTTCGATTCTGAAGTGTTTGTATTTTTCGTGCCGTTTGTACCATTAGACGAAGGCAGAGATGAGAATTCCTCAAGGGCCCTGACGACTCCAGTGTGGCCTCCTTTGATAGCGACACGTGACGCAGTTCGCCCGAACTGATCGGTATGACTAGGATCGGCTTGATATTTTAATAACACACGAACGACATCCTCATGGCCCTCCTGTGCGGATATACACAAGGCAGTCGCACCTTGATTACATGCATGATCAACTTCGGCACCACGCTCTAACAACACTTTAACAATCTTAGCATCGCCTTGCCATGAAGCTGATTGCAGGGCAGTCCTATTATCATTATCAACTGCATTCACATCTGCACAATGACTCAACAATAACTCAACCATATCCAAATGTCCTTGCCAGGCAGCCACATGGAGTGGCGTACGGCCTTCATGATCTGAGCTCTCCACATCACATTCAGCGCAATTCTCCAACAACAGATCCGCGATTTCAAGTTTATTTTCCAAAGCTAATACGTAGAGTATAGAACGACCGTCAGCATCTAGGCAGTTTATATCACACCCGGTGTGGACTAGATAATTGATGACATCCATATGACCTTCGAGTACAGCGACACGCAGAGCAGTTCTACCATCATGAGATTTATGTTCTGAAAGTACAAATCCCACACATAATTATTAACAATATACATATCTTAACCCAACATGTATTAAAGATGCCTTGTTTGATAGCATTGGATTCATTGTTGTTTCATCTCATATCTTAACCTCATATTTATTAAAGTTGCTTACAAGTTGCTTGATTGGCAATGGACTCAATCAATCAATTTCATTTTCCCAGACCCTGTGTGTGCAGTTTAGAGGTGTAACTCGCCAGAAAAATCCAACTTGAGTTCAACTTGCCAAATATTTCCAAAACTCGAGTAAAACTCGAGTTAATTCATCGGTCCGGTACCTATTGTATTGGTCCTACTCTCTATTGATTTATATGGTGACCTAATTACAATTATTTTCCTTATTATTTATACACAGTCAGGGCCAGTAAGGGCCGTAATGAAAGGGGACCATTATCCCCAGGGGACCATCATTTCTTTTACACTGGGTATACAAAATTACTGTCACTTCTAGCGGCAAGTTTCCCTGGTTTAGTCAGATCTAAAAGCTGTTTAACACGTTGGGGCCATAAGAAAGTGTGGTATTCATTGCAGTTATCTCATATTTCAATCAAAAACGATCTGGTATAGACATCGCCGCATACGTAAGTACTAGAGATCGCTTGAATCTAACCAAACAATATTTGAGAAAACCCAGAAGGGCCCCTCAAATTAATGAATGGTTTTCCTGGATTATCTTCATTATTTATACTAAAGACTGCTGGTTATCGATCTAAAGTTAAGACTTATGATCTTAATTTAATGATAGATCATCTTTTTTGTAAAAGTCGTGTAAACGACGTGAGAATAAGGGGACCATTTTTATTCAATTTTAGTGACTACTCCATTATCGCCCACTTGAGTTCCTTCGATTTACTCGAGTCTCTAGCCAATACTTGGCTAAAGGGGATTTCATCTGGAATACTGTGAACTCTATTTGAAAAAAGCTGGCCGTGGTGTCATAAATTTATTGAATATTTTAAAAATCGCCAGATAAATGAATCATTAATCGAACCGGACCCAGCTCGGCTCCTTGATGAGATATGACATGATTTCATCAGGATTTCGTCTAAAATTAAAACAAAATGGCTCCAAGAAAAATGGCGATATTCAAAAACTGGACGAAATGTCGTTAAAGTCTGACATTAGTAACTGGCTGTAAATTCTAAGTGATCCAGAAGATGTGAACTAATACACTGATCACTTTATGTGTGTTTTGGAATTTTTGGTGAGGTAATAAGACCAAAACTCGCAATTCAAATTGTGATGTGGAAAGATGGCAGACATATGATTTCAAATTTTATGATTACGACATGACCAGTTGTTCATGCAGGAATATATCTGTACTGGAAGGCCACGATACAGTGGCCTTAGAAGAAGGTAGCCTTTGATAGTCATCTTTTTCTGATTTTTCTGGTGTAAATCGTCATTCCACGATATTTGTTGAACTTTGTGAAGCTTTGAGAGTGTTTTTTAGGTGACGGGCGCTCAATATGGCGATCATTGGTATATTTATTCCCCTAATGAAGTAATGTTGCACGATCTCGAATTCATTTTACATGCTTGAAAGATAGGCAAAACTCGCGAGTTGACTCGAGTTATAGCTAGCTCGCGAGTTGAAATTGATTGGGAGTTTCTTGAGGACAACTCGAGGCAAAGTATAGGCAGCTCTGACGAGCTGTACTCGAGTTACGGACTCGGGAGTTACACCTCTAGTGCAGTTGCTTTATCATTAAATCTTTGACATTCAATTTTTTGATTATAAGATACCAGTTGTCATGGTGACTGTAACCAAGCCTACCTCACATTTTCTTAAAATCATGGGTCAAATAAAATGGGTCATTAAAAAATGATAAGGTCACCCATATATTCTTGCTATATTCTGATATTCAGTCTATCTAAAACTGTTGACTGTTTGACACTTTATATCATGTGGAATTTCCTTACCAGGGTTTGACTCTGCCTCTATCAGTAGTTGTACAATTTCTATATTTCCCTCCTGGGAGGCAAGAATCAGTGGAATCCGCCCCTCATTGTCCACTTCACAGACCTTGGCACCCTGCTCTAACAGCTGCTCACACACCTGCAAAAGAAATATTACACATTTATCTATTTTAATTTTCCATTTGTTTATTTATTCACTAGATTTAAGATGATATTCACGTGCACTGTATATCGAGTGGGCTTGAGAAAGTAGAGAACTTCAAGGGGAAACCAAAGATTAGGAATAATTTGAGATTATTTACTTTCTAAAGAACTGTCATGATTTATATTTTTCGCTCGCAACATTCCATGTCATGCCTATTTTTTACAAAACATAACATTTCTGCCCTTATTTCATCAATTTACTTTATTTTTAGGGAATTTGTCAATAAATGAGAAAAATAGATACCTGTTTTTCAATTCTCATGAATTTGAATATTTCTGCAACTCCAATACAGTAAGTCAATCAACAATAATTTCTATATTTTGATCCAATATCTCAATTACTTTTTTCAGATAATAAGATTAGGGCTGTAAAGGAACTTTCAATGCAGGATTCTATTTGAAAATATTTCTTCCAGCATTTACAATTAACTTTACCTGCTTATGTCCCTCATATGCTGCTAGATGTAGTGGGGTGAGACCCAGGTTGTCTCTGTGCATCTCATCAAGACCTCTGTCCAATAGAAGAGCAACTGATTCACTAGTACCCTGAAGACGAAAAGTGTTTTAGGATTATTCTGTATATAAGGTTATTGTTATGTCATATGAATCACATGTATACAGTAATAAATAATTAAATAATACTAGATAATTAACCTCTTGACTACCTGGAGTGACGAGATTTCTCGTCACCTTAGAAATGACCTTGAACCCCAGAGTGACGAGAAAATCTATCACAAAAAATTTTTCACTAAAATTGCTCTTGACAATTGTCTTCCAATTTACACAAAAATTGTATTAAAATGTGCAGAAATGATCTCTGCCGTCTAATTTTAGTAAGTTAAATATCTAAAGTTGTATAGGTACATCCCCAAAATGCAATCTGATTTTCGACGCCGTTTTGGTGCCAAATTTCGGTGCCGTTTCGGCACCAAATGGACTGACTAGTCCGGTGGCAAATTTTGGTATCGAAAGGTTTTGGTGCCGGAACGGAGCTGGAACAGCGCTGAATTTTTCCGGTGCCAAAACGGCGCCAAATTATATTGGCTATGTATGTAGTAAAATGTCAAAAGGTGGCAAAAATGAAAAATTCTCTGGTTTCAACTAATTTTAGAGCCTGGGATTCAAGAGGTTTAACAAGACTCCTGCACAGATGCACACCCATAAGCAAAAGACCATTTTAAGAAAGTGTAATAAAAATTCAAATGAAACCAGAGAGATATGATCATTATTTCTCCAGTGCTATTTTGAATTACTTTAATCTAAACGGAAAAAAGAAATTCAAAATTTAGAAAGAGGCAAGTACACACTACAGGCTTCAAAATGGTTTATGATTTAAACTTTTGAAGTGACAAAATGAATTCAGTATAAATCAGGAAATAAAAAAACTTTTCATGCTTCTTATACATTATTGAAAATCAAGAAATAAATATACAAAAAATCTTGAAACAGACTCTAACAATCATGCGCAGACTACTACGTAACAATTTAAACTTTTGAAATGACAAAGTCTCAATTCATTTCATAGTATAGCATAAATCAGGAAAATAATAACAGAATATACATCTTTTTGAAAATATAGAAATAGAGTCCTACAGACATGCACATAGTACACACTAACCTGTTGTGCTGCTATTGAGAGAACAGTTCGACCATCTGAATCAATATGATCAATGCCTGCTCCCCAAAATAGCAAGAGAGAGATGATGTCAACATGACCTGCTGATGCTGCAGCTTGCAGTGGGGACCTGCCATTGTTGTCACATTGGTCAACATCAGCATCTGCCTCTAGAAGCAACTCACACACCTTGAAATATACAAAACAAGAAATCAATATGACTGATCCCTGAACAGCAATAGAGAGATGATGTCAACATGACCTGCTGATGCTGCAGCTTGTAGTGGGGACCTGCCATTGTTGTCACATTGGTCAACATCAGCATCTGCCTCCAGTAGCAACTCACACACCTTGAATTATATAAATCAGAAAATCAATATGACCGATCCCTGAATATTTAGTATTAGATAATCATTTATCTAAAAATTTTGTTTTACAAATATCGCCACCAAATTCTTTTTTCCCACAAAATTAGGGAGCTGTTGTTACCTCCCCAATACATGCAAAAGGTGGACTAGTCGGGGGAGGGGGTATCAGAGATTTGATGCTAGACTAAAATGAGATTGGTCCAATAGAAAGTTTAATACAACATTCTGGTCGCCTCTTATATACCCAAAACCATACCTATCTATTCAATATTATGTTTTTTTCAAAATTTACGTTATGTCTGTGGTTTTCTATTTGGGTTTTTAAATTCAAAGCACCCTTTCCCCAGTTCAAGTAGAAGGAAGTTCCTACTGTGTTATTTTATGAATTGGGAGATATGAGAAGCGTTTAAAATACCACATACAAATTCAATCTCTAGCTTTATCGATAGTTTCATTTTCCTCTCTTTGAGGGTAATGTAGAAAAATCTGCTAAACCCCTATTCACCCCCCCCTTTCAAAAATATGGGAAGGAGATGGATACTTACACGATCAAAATTATCAAATTGATATAACATCTATATATGTCAGAAAAATATATTAAGTGAAACACCTCCACAAGTGGAACACCTTCATAAGTAGAACACCTCCCAAGAGGTTATGCCTAGGTCACATTTGCTCCGATTCATCTGAGTATTTTGTTCAAAATTGAAGATCAAATCTCAAAGTCAAGGTCACATGTGAACTCCTGAGAACTTGTATATGATTTTAAAAAAAGTTTGGTCAATCTGAAGCAAGTTGAAATCAGTTTTGAACAAAATATGCAATCAGCCGGGCACTGGCCGATTAATTGGAGCAAATGTGACCAAGGCATTACACAAGTTCAACTGTACATAGGTATGGCATGTGTAACTGAATACTCCATTGTGATTAATATAGCTATTGAATATACAATTTGTATCATTGTATCAAGCATATGGCATTGTTAGGATAGGAACTACAATAGTTGCTATAGCTTGTATATGTCAGAGCGACATTTCTATTAAATTAATTGTCACTTCCAATGAGAAATATTAGTGTTAATATTTTCCCTGTATTGCATTATTAATAATATATTCATAAAGAGATGCAATTTCAAAGTCATTCCAGCAAATATAAGATTAACAATTTTTATAGGAAATGTCATTGGTCGAGATTTTATAGTACTCAAGTAGAAATGGAACATTTTTTACTATAGGCTCTACTCATTAAACTTAGCTCTATGGGAATAATGTGGAAAGTCGTAAGATTGGGTTCCAATGAAAATATCATTGTAGGCATTTTCGATATGAAAAAGAAGAGTGAATAAGAATGTAATTAGCAAGGAATAAAATGACATAAGCATGGTGTCGCCATGCTCTAACTTACATTGTCACACAAGAAAACGAGACAGTTAACTTAAAAATTTTCGCGAGAAATAGATTGATATTATAAGTCTAGGTAAGCCACCAAGAGTGCAATTTCTGGAAGGGACTAGAACATGCAGGCGGCAGACAGTTTCTCAAACAATATTACTCTAATGTGCTATATTGAATTAATATTCTGCTTATTACATTAGTAACAAACAGTTCTTGGGAGCTACGCTTAACTTAATTAAAGAATTCTCTGAGTTTCCCTAATTCCACTTTCCTTAAGTGAGATTTTAATATGAATGATATTCACACGAGCCTTAAAGGGGTCTCCATTTGGTAAGGCCATGACTGAAAGCCCCGGGCTGAAGGCCTTAATTTTGTCACGATAATGTATCAATCTCATATGAGTAAATGATCAATGATCGCTTCATATATATTTTAGAAAGGAGGCGAGCAAAATATATTGTAACATATAACCAAGTTCATTTTGGTAATATTTCATTTTTAATGTAAGGAAAACATAATTCCAAAATAATTCATTGAGATGAATATTCTCTAAGGAGGACACGAGTCACTTTTCACACTCATTCCAAATAAATTATAAATTATTAATAACGCATTCATCATTCTATTCACTCCAGTAAAAAAACTACATAGCTATTATATCTACATGGTGCAGTTGGTGTGCGGTCCCATCCCATCCAGAAAATTCACTTGGCTTTTTTACAAACAATTTCCCAAGAGTACTTTTCTTCCCAAAAATGATTTATTTTTTCTTCTATATCTAAATTCAGTTCATTTAACATGAGAAATGCATGCCTATTCCAATGCAACTACATTTTCTATTTCTTTCTCTCTTTGTTTATTTATTTAAAAGTGTGATCCCGATTATATTTTATTCAGAGGTACCTGCCATTATATACTGAGGCATTAGATTGAGTTACCTATTAGTAACAAAACACAAGTAACATTGTCTACTATGGCCAGTGGTTGTAAAGCAAATGCTTTGATTTTACGCGTTTCAGAACTACTTCAGATCCATAAGTGTGTATCAATCCATTATATAGCTTGGGAATCTTTTCCAAATTCATGACTGAGTCCATTTTCATTATATCATGTCTTCTCAAGATTATTTTGGGCATTTTATTTTTTCAATTGAAGATTTGAAGAAGGAAATTCAAAAAAATACCAATTTAAAAACATTTAATTTGCCATATAAACATATACTCTCACAATATCAATAATAATAGAAATGCTCAAGAGGTACTAATTTCAAGAGGGGGCTTATGGGAGCCTATTACGAGGAATTGTGGGATCCACGGCCTACATGCTCTCCCTCTTAAGCTTTAGAAGAGCAAATCGGGAAGTAACAAGAGTAAATACAGAACATATGAAAAGTCATATATTTGCCCAAATAAATTGAGTACTTGGAATATCAGTTATGGAACTTAAGGTTAACTTGGATGTGAACATTTTGAAGTATGTTCATTTATTTTACAAAGTGTTCAAGTTAACATTGCACTGAGGACATTTATGAGAAACTCAGGAATAATTTATGTTTGCCATTCTTTAAAGTACTACTCTGAGTCTAATACTAAGCTCTGATTAGGAAATAAATATACATTTCTGATGATGATATGATCTAAATGAGACAAAATAGAGAGAGAAGATTGGAGCAAACGAAGGAATTACATACAGTATGAAAATACATGCTGTAGAAACTCCCAACTCTGTATATCAAATAAGGAATATAGACTTTATCAGGCAAAGCAATTTTATGAGCTCAATTATTACATTCCCTGTAATATGATTTCATAGGTAATCTGTTACCTTTCCAAAAAGTTTGAAAAAATCATGTCGAAAAGTTCCTTTTTGACACAAAAAGTAGCCTTATTACAGGAACATGAAATGTTGATAATATTCCAATAATTATATTGAGTCATCTCTCTGAAAATAATTTTAGGACATGACAGGAAATGTTTCAGAAATTCCTTTAGCGTTGCCAAATTTTTATTACACTATAAAGCAAAGTTTTTTATGCAGTTATAGCCAGAGAGCTTACCACATGATTAAGCCAGAAATGTCAAACATTTAGTTTTTGAAACATGGTATATCAATTAAGCTTGCTATTACTTCAAATGTTTACATAAAAATGAAACAAATATGAACATGAATCTCATGACAGTGATAAACAAGGCATGAACATGCAAAATGTAACCACCTGCCATTTGCTACAGACACCAATCGCTGAATGCTGACTGTCAACGCCGAACACTGTCTATAAAAAGTTGGAGACTATATGAAGTCTCATCCCTGTAAAAGTGCATAACTCACCCCAAATCCAATGTCAACTTTCAAACTTGACTAATGGGAATCAGTTCATATGTAGGACATGGAGGATGTTATATATCAAATAAAAGCTTGTGTTAAAGTATTAAAAATTAGGTAACATTTCTGGAATGAATATCTAAATATTAAACCTTCTTTTTTTAAATTAATCCTTACCTGATATTGTCCTTCATAGGCTGCAACTAGCAATGGTGTCATACCATCGTTGTCACGGTGGTTCACATCAGCACCACGATCCAGTAACAGACTGATGACAGACGAGTGACCTTTTGACGCAGGGAGGCACAATGCTGCGACTGAAAGTGCTGTTCTGCCGTCACAATCTTGGTGGTTAATGTTGGCAGAGTTATCCAATAGATGCTCAACGATTTCACAATGACCCATATATGCTCCAGCTATCAAAGCTGTACGTCCTTCATTGTCTGTTTTATTAACATTAGCACCATGTTCTAATAATTTGATTACAATATCCTCATGGCCGCCCCATGCAGCTGCGCGTAATGCTGTTCGCAGATCCGTATCAGCATGATCCACATCAGCACCTGCACTAAGCAGTAATGAAACGACTTCAGTGTGACCGCCCCATGCCGCAGATCTTAAAGGACTCCAGCCATCATTGTCCGTATGATTCACATTAACACCAGCGTTTAATAACGCAGCGACGATCTCGATATGACCTTGACGTGCTGCTAGATTTATGGGTGTTTGACCTTGCTTATCTTGACTCTCAAGGTCAACATTTGTGTTCAGTAGATCCAGGAGTACAGTGAGGTTGCCACTGTGGGCGGCATTAGCAAGATCCGTCATGCCATTAGAGTCAATCTGTTGGGGCTCAGGAGGCAACATGCAGCTCTCCTCAACCTCAGCCAAGAGATCCTCCCGACTGCAGTGGACACTGTTAGGCCCATCAGGGTCTGGTAGTGCAGCACCGGCATCCAGAAGTAACTTCACGACATGTTGCTCCTTAGGCATCCCAACACTTAAACTATCATGGACATTAGCCCCACTCTCTATCAACCAAAGTGCCAGCTGAAAAGCCTCTAAATGATTCACAGCTGTAGATTTACTAAGGTGAAGGGCGAAATCCTGCACTTCAACTGCAGCCAGATTTTCCGCATGTAACGTAAAACTCATGGCCAGCATAGAATGACCTTCACTCGCTGTGCATAAATATTTCTGAGTGCAGTGCTTAACATCCAGTATCCACTCAGCAAAACTGTGATGAAACAAGATCTTTGTCTTATTGGGCCCTTCCAATAGAACCTTAGAGAGAATATCAATCCGTTTACTAAACTCCTCGATTGTAAGTTTGATATTGCGTGTCCAGCAACATGTGTATAGCTCCATTTCAGTGAGAGGTCGCCTCGCTGCAAGAATTACATTCAAAATTGGTTGTATTTTTGCAAATTGTTTTCTTACGAATAATCGCTGACATAACCATAGATATAATCCATTCAGAGTACCCGGTATTTCCTTAATTTCACGTAGCATGATAAAATTATCTGATACGCCATCAAGGACTTTTTCAAGATACAGAAAGCAACCGTTACTTTTTATATGCAGTTGGTTTAGCATCTCAGCCGTGTCACGACTCAAATGTTGTCGTAATTTTTCCTCGCGGTCAAGTCGACATAAGATATACTGCTGGACGTCTCTAACGACATGTGTTTTATGTAAATCATCCAGACTGATTTTCCGGAAACCAGTGAACATCCGAGTTATCGCTTTACTGCCTTTTCTCGCTGAACAGACTAAGAGAAGCCATTTTGGGAATAAATGATGGTGATTGGCTAAAAGTTCTGCTATTGTGCGACTACCAGTTGTCCTCTCACTGATTGATTGTAAATAAGATTCATCGATAGAATCGACCAAAATAATGAGATTGCGATCAGGTGGTTCTATTGCTTCTAAAGGTTCAAGAACTGTCTGTATGAATGCTGTATCGGGATCTTTCTCACATTGTAAGGGGTCCAATGCATCAAGGAGACCCCTTTCTTTCAAAATGTCTTCATATTCATTCAGTTTACTTGACGTACACAGCTGATCCACTATACTGTGTACAAAGTTTGTAATCGAAAGTGTTTCAATATCGTGCGCTTGGCAGAAATGATACCCTAAAATCCTTGCACTCAAGGCGATTTGTTTCCCGACTGACACTGTGGGCCAGACAGTCTGGCAACATAGGGCAGTTTTCCCACACCCAGGGCCACCCATTATCAAGGCCCCACATGTCTTGGAGGTAGGCCTACTCTCCAAGCAATGCTGTAGCTTGCTAAATGCCCACTCCCTACAGTAAAATGTCTTGCCCTGGAGAAGGCTTGTTGTCATGGTGATTTTGTTGTATTGAGATGTAATCCCTAATGTGAATTAATTTATCACTGAGTCATGATGACCAAATATGACTTTGGTAAGTCATGATTATAAAAGAAATCATGAAAATATTCTTGACTAGATATTACAAGATGCGTAGTTATAGTCATTGTGTAGTTAGTGACTCCACCTCCATTTAGTCAATGGGTTCATATTTTGTAGTCATTTTGTATTATCAATACAGCTATGCAGTCCTTGGCTTCACATATTGTAGCACAACCCACATTTGACTTTTCTTGTTGGATAGTAGTTTGTGTTACATTCAGGCATCTGAAAACACAAAAATTAAAATTTTTAATAAATTAGTGAAGTTAATATTCTTATTGTGAATTAACTCCTATGTCACCCCTTCCCATTTCTATCCTCTTTTCTTAAGGACACAGGGATGTGTCTTAATTATGTCTTAATTCATTGGCTCCTGTATTTTGTGTGTCTTAATTATGTCTTAATTCATTGGCTCCTGTATTTTGTGTGTCTTAATTATGTCTTAATTCATTGACTCCTGTATTTTGTGTGTCTTAATTTTGTCTTAATTCATTGGCTCCTGTATTTTGTGTGTCTTAATTATGTCTTAATTCATTGACTCCTGTATTTTGTGTGTCTTAATTCATTGGCTCCTGTATTTTGTGTGTCTTAATTATGTCTTAATTCATTGACTCCTGTATTTTGTGTGTCTTAATTTTGTCTTAATTCATTGGCTCCTGTATTTTGTGTGTCTTAATTATGTCTTAATTCATTGGCTCCTGTATTTTGTGTGTCTTAATTATGTCTTAATTCTCCTGTATTTTCCACTTAATCTTGCATTGTAAATGTTGATATACAAGATATCCCAATCTTAAGTTTTATCTGATTCATTTCTAGCAATACAAGCCATGTAGAGTGCTTCCATATAATAAAAAAGAAGGATAGGAAGTTATTGTTATATTTGGAAATGACTCAAATTATCCATACATGTAACTAAACCCGATTTATAACACTTGAAACTTCAATCATATCCAAGGCCTAACTTACTTGTAATATATTCAATATTTCTCACTTTTCTCTTGGCTACATTAGTTTTAAAGATTTGAACTTAGTGTATTACATTTCTATAAGAAAGCACAAGGGGCAATATTTAAGAATGGCACTTACAAACATATTTAACCTCATTAAATAACAACAACCTACAAATAAATAAAACCTAATCTTCAAGTAGGTATTTGACACTTTTTTTTTTATTCAATGATTTATATTGTACCCAAAAACCACAGACATGTTCAGATGTATTATTTTGTCCTGAAGTGGTCTGGTGTTAAAGTGCAGGTATAGGGGATGGAACATATAAATATATTAATTGGTTAATCACTTAGAGAATTTTTCATTTTTTGCCACCTTTTGACATTTTATTACATACCTATACAACTTTAGATGCTCAGCTTAGTAAAATTGGACGGCAGAGATCATTTCTACACGTTTTAAAACAATTTTTGTGTAAATTGGATGAAAATTGTTCAAATGAGAGCAATTTTTGTGAAAAATTTTGTGACGGATTTTCTCGTCCCTCTGGGCACCAGTCTTATTTCATTTGTGACGGATATATCCGTCACTCTGGGTATTCAAGAGGTTAAATTGGACCACCCCTTCATATACTAACATGGTACGATTTCTACATAATAAAACATGGCACTCAATTCATTACTAACAGTCTTCTCAGTCTTATTTCACACAAAATACTTCAGAACCCATTCTTAAAATAAATAAGGGCTCATATACTTTTCAACTCTAACATTTGAAAACATTGTTTTTTGCATTTCTTTGTAATTTTACTAATTTAGTGTTTTGACCACATGTATGTATTTTTATACCCTGGCAATTCTTTTTTCTGCTCAATTTTACATCTAGAGCATGAAAACAATGTTCAATCTTTTGCTTACAGTTAAATTAATTTATGGCTGCAATTCAATTATAGATATACGTAGTCTACATCTACTTTCATCAGAGGGGGTTCTCCAAAGTGCTTTTTGTGACAAAAACATTAATTTTTATGCCAAATTCGATTGATATTTATTACAATTGCATTGCTGTATACCACTCACTAGTTTTACTGGTTTACATGCCAAATAAGGTTATTATTCTCAATTTGATGCCAAATAGGGTACTACCCCCAGTACTGATGAAAAGTAGTTTCCTCAATCCCGAAGAAAAGAAAGTTATATCCTCAATCCTGATGTCAAAAAAAGCTATATCCTCAATCCTGATGTCAAAAAAAGTTATCTCCTCAATCCTGATGTCAAAAAAAGTTATATCCTCAATCCTGATATCAAAAAAAGTTATATCCTCAATCCTGATGTCAAAAAAAGTTATATCCTCAATCCTGATGTCAAAAGAAGTTATATCCTCAATCCTGATGTCAAAAAAAGTTATATCCTCAATCCTGATGTCAAAAATAAGTTATATCCTCAATACTGATTCTAAATAAGGTAATATTTTCAGTCTTGTTCAGATGCTAAGGCTAGTTCAGATGCTTTAATGCATCTGAAGTTGATTTTTTTAATATTCCTTTATGAATATTTCTCCTTGTATCTTGAATAATTGTGATAAATATACCTTTTAAGATGTTTCTTTATTACTGCATTTGTTTGATTATTTATGATAAATTGCTATCATTGTAGGTAAACTTACTATTGAAATGGCAGATTGTCCTCCATCATTATGTATATATACTCCTATATGAAAATAAACACTACATGTACCTTTAAAACTATACTAGCTATAAATACGACCTGACTGAAACAGCCAGCAACCAGCAGTACTTTTCGCCATCTTCAATTAAGACACAACGTGAATAAACGCAAATCAAGTGTATAATTGCTCGTATATCCCTTCGTGTACAAATTGGCAGAATTCACGATCATGCTGTTCTTTACAAATTCACATACTTAATTTGTCAAACCTTGGGCATTAAAAACAAAAAATTAAGTCTGATGTTGATGATGAGATGTAAAGCCTATTACAATCTAAATGCTAAATGTGAAGTGATGGTAATTCACACATGAAAGCCAAACACATCAAACCTAAAAAATGCTATATTTAGTTCTTTGTACTCCCTCAAAACATACAAATGCATAGCTCATTCAGTATAATGTTCAATGGGGGGGGGGGGGGGTTAAAGCTTATACTTCTGAAAATATATAACAGATCTGCATAATATGGAATGTGTGCCAAGGTCTTGATGGGCAATCATTTATTAATGTGTAAGATCAGTCTGGATATTTTTGAGTATATACTGTATTTGATGTGGGCAAAAGTTCACCAAACATCACCTAAATACAGGAATTCAACAGTTTTAGATAAAACATCCTTCAACATCTCATGATAAAATAACTGCATTATCTCTTGTCATTCATCAATGATAACTGGGTGTGAATTAATTGTCCCAGTAGACCTGTTTCCACAAGTAAAATACCCCCAACCTCTCCCCAGGTAAGCCAAAAATAGGCCTTGAAATGGGTGGGCGTTTAAGGCCTAATTTTTGAAAAATTAAACCTTGGAGGTCTGGGCCTAAATTTTTGAAAAATATGCCTAATTCGTATCCAGAAACCCCTTACAAATGAGGAAATATATATACAATTGAATAAAATAACAGGGATGTACAGACACTCCACTCAAAGAGAAAAATTGCTCAGGTAGAAGAATGGTTCAGTGCAATCCCTGGCAAAATATAATAACATGAACTGTTTAAAAAATTATTGCAAATATGTTAATCTATGAAGTGCAAGAAAAACTGCGGAATTTAAGAAGTCTCCACTGCCCTTATGTATACATACAGAATATAAAGTGAAAAATACAAGGCAATAAAAAGCTAGTTATTAAACTAAATGATGGTGAAACGCGAGAACTTTTTCCAAGTGAAAACAAGCCAATTATAACAACAGAGCAGAGAAACATGCATTTCTGTTACTCTGGTTAGGAGTAGGTGTCCAAGTGAATAAAAACAAGCAGCCAAATTAGTGCAACAATCTGGAATAAAATCTACTACTATCGTATATAGGTTATGGGCTAGCCCTTAAATTGCGGTATGGAGGTAGAATTTTGGAGACCATGTTAGTTACATCCTAATTTGTAATTCTCACCACAATTTGGCAATAATTAAGCAAAATTTTACAGCGTTTAGGAAAAAATCAATATTTATACCCCCCGCATGACAAAAGTAGGGGGTACATAGAAAATAATTAATAACTTTACAAAAACATTATGAATAACCACAATTTTTTCAGAATATATACACATATATGTCATTAATAACTGGTAAAAAATTGGTGACGATAGGTATGATGGTTGCTATGGAAACAGAATTTGATTGTCAAAATTTGCTAATTTGTGTCTATTTTAGGTGGGCTAGTTAACGAAAAAATCCTATGCTAGCCAGTTATGCTGCAAAAATAGCATTGTTTTAAGGTTTAGAAAAGTGCATATATATGTCCTGCATGCATTGAAATTAGAATGATGATTGAGTCTCAATTAGAAATATTTTTTAAAAAATTTTCTATGACCCACCCCCTCTAAATAATCAAAAGTGGGCGTGGCATTTAACTGAATGATCAAGCCTACTTAACAGTAGATAACTTCAATTGTATAGCCAGTATTATCACAATTTCAACAGAAGGTATGATTCTTGTATCAGTTAACATTTTCTATGACTTTTCTATCCCTCCTCAATATTTGTAACCCCTCCCCCTCCTCCACCACCCCTCCCGCAGGACAAAAGTAGGGGATACATTGAAAATGATTAATAACTTTACAACAATGCAGCAAATAACCACCAATTTATCAGACAGAATAAATGTATATGTCATCAGTAATTTGAAATAATTCTTGGTGATGATGGTTCTATAGAAACAGGATTTGATTGTTGTGAATTTGTGTAGATTGGGTGGGGGGGGGGGCTAGTTTATGAAGAATCATATCCTAATAAATTATGCAGCAAAATACCATTGTTTTAAGGTTTAGGAACTGTGTCCTTTATATATTAAAACTGAAATAATGATAGGATGTCATTCACAAATAAATTTTTTGATGAGATTATAATAATAGGTGACATTAACAAACTTTGATTTAGCGGCAGAAAAGAAGGTCTATAATATTGCCCGATCCTTTAATGTTTCACTGCAATGCTTTCATTAGATTGGGGACAGTTCATACCCTTTTGTGCTGTGGGAAAATATATGAGATTAAGGGTTCGAGGAGATTCTTATAGAATCTTAGATATTTGCAGTTCAATTGATGGTAGTGGA